TTTTTGAATTTTACAGATGAAAATGATGCATTGCAAAGGTAAAAAGAAAATGCCCCTGTAAATCACTTCATCTCATATTAGGAAGGCTAATTTTTGATCAGAATTTTTTATTATTGATCAGAAGGTGCTCCTTCATTTTTGTTTGAATTCGGAGGACAAGCGCTCCTGATTACAAGAAGAAAAACTGCTCTTAAACTGTGTGACAGGTATGGCTGAGGAATGGGGTTTGGCCGAGGAAAAAGTTTCAGTCAAAAGATTTTTTTTTTTTGCTTTAACCCCTGACTACTACAACAATTATTACAACTTTTGTTTAAAAGAATAATCACACAATACGCTATTTCTTCCATGTTTTAATTTTAATGGTAAACCCTTTGTTTGCCAAAAAATAAAGAGTTTAACTCTTTAAAATAAAGAGTTTACTGTGGGAGTACTACACTCAACCAACACCAGGGAAGGCAGTTTTTGTCAGAGCCCTTGTTATTCTTAATTTTGACATTAATTTTAATTTTTACACCAGACATATATATCGGTTCAAAATATCGGTTATCGGTCTACTTGATCTGTAATAATCGGTATCGGCATCGGCCCTGAAAAACACATATCGGTCGACCCCTAATATAAATAATTAAATATTTACTTAACTATGGAAGATCATTTCTGCCATGGGATAAAAAAAAGGTAACTGTGGCTTTTTATCTAACAATTTAGACATTTTTGCTTGCAATTCTGAGTTTATATCTTAACATTCAGACTTTTTTATTGAACTTCTGAGAATTGCGAGATATAAACTGAGGGGGAAAAAGTCAGAATAGCATGTTAACTCACATTTGCAAGAAAAACATTGTGAGATGAAAAGATGCAACTACCCGTTTTATTTTTTTTTCATGGCAGAAACAAAAAAACTAAATTGCGAGATGCAGACTTAGAATACTGAGAAAAATGGTCAGACTTGCAAGAAAGAAAAGGCTGAACTGTGAGATAAAAAGTCGCAAATATAAACACAACGGTTTAAAAATTATCTTAAAGGGGTCATGAACTGCTTTTATTTTTTATTTTGTACTGTTCTCTGAAGGCCACTTATAATGTTATCACGGATCCAATATAGTCGGCATAGCACCGTCTTTCAGTTTCAATCTTTTTGAAAATCCCACGTCAAATTCTGCCTTGTTTGTAAACGAATCCGCGTTTGGTTTATCGTTTGGTTTCTGCGCAGATCTGCATTCGCCTTTCTCGTTATTCACACTACATGCGTGAATCAGTGGGCGGGGCTAAACAGGCAATGATGTCGAAGCAGGCGTTGATCTTCTTCTGCGGAGGCAGTGCTTATCCACACTATTACATCAGAGTCATACATTCCACAAGCTGTTGTTTTGGCAGACTGCCTTCAATATAAGCTGTTTTTAGGTTTGAGTTCTGAAACTTACAGGATGTTTTTATAGTACAAAGACCTCTTATATGTCAAAAGATCAAGGGAACTTTGGTTTCTCAATTCATGACCCCTTTAACTTCAAATGCATTCTCTGAAACCTCTCAATATTTTACACAGGTGATCTGAGTGCAGTTCAGCACAGATGTAAACAGTTCAATAAACAATCAAACTCAGAAATTCTTTAAATTTCTAAAATCAAGAATCCTACAGTACTTCAATGCTGATTTCAGAGTAAAGTATCAGACAGAGGATGCTCTATGTCAATCGAGAAAATCGGTTTTGCACATGGGTTAGACCTCAAGGTTAAACAGAAACTGCTGACTAATTCTCATGTGGATTTCGCAGCTTCCTTAATATTAGGGATGCATGATATTATCGGACCAATATCGAAATCGGCCGATAATGGCTTTAAATGTAAATATCGGCATTGGCCCGATATGAAAAATTATGCCGATATCTCTTGCCGATAAGAGGAATACATTAACTCACATGTGCTCAGGGTGTGCTAGCGATTAGATGATGTCAACAGTGCGATTAGATCACGTCAATGGTGATTGGATTCAGTGTTTTGGATCGCTGCAATTAAACTGAGAATACACGTACGCATTTGGTGTATAGAATAAACACTAGCACATGCAGCGGCAGCCTCCCCCGGGTCCTAATGCCCGCTCAGTAAGGAGTTTTAATTCCGTAGGGGGTGCTGTTGGCCTACTTCTAATAAAATGAAAGCAAAATACACAAATAATATTTAGACTGTGTTTCTGATTAAATAAAGCAGTAATTGAGGCCATAAAATCATGAGTATGTTTTGATTTAAAGGTCAGAAGCTATAGCTTACATGAAAAAAAAAAATCAAGACACTTCAATTAAATAATTTTATATATACCTACTGATTTATTCATTAATGTGTAATATGTTATATTTTTTAAACAAATTATGAGCTCTAAAAGATTTTCAGAATTTTTACAACTCTTTTGCTTTAGACCATTTACAAATGCTAAATCATAAAATAAAATGTTAAGGTTACCACTGCATCTTTCTGAAAAAAAAAAAAAAAATGCAGTGATTAATATATAGTTTATTTATAGTTATTTTCAAATCTTCAATGTACTGTCATTATAAAATAACTTTATTATTGTTTATTTAATTCTAACAAATAAGTTCCTGTTAAAAACTAACCAAAATTAAAAATAATTATATATCGTATCGGCATCGGCTATCGGCCAAAATGAGTTGAAAATTATCGGCATATTGGATATCGGCGAAATCCAAGATCGTGCATCCCTACTTAATATCTTAAGTGCCATTAAATTTTGACTAAAGAAAAAATAACTGTGTGTAGTTACACCTGAACATTAGCTCGTTAGCAAGTCAATGTCACTCAGAATGATGTGTGCCCTTTGTTTTTTACTCACCCTGGTTCTACATCTGGGGTCACCATCAGGGTCAGTCAGTTTGCCTCCATAGTACGCTGGGAGCTCCTCAGGGTCGATGTATTTCTGTAAAACCTCCAGCCAGTTTGCTAAGAAGACAGAAACAGAAGCTTCTGTTGAGAATTTTGACGCTCAGCAGTTACAAACAAAACACACAAAACACACTTACAGCAAATAATTCAAATGGAAGTTTGGCAAGCGAGCTAGAGGGTATAAAATAGTCACTGACAATGCCAGTTTGTCTGAACGGCACAAGCATTGTACAATAATCTTGCTGGTTTGGTCTGTTCATCCTAGCCTAGCATCAATTCTAAAAACTACCTACAGCCTTTCTGTTTCTATTGTTTTTAAGAATTCTGAGCAAATACTGTGTAAAAATACTGATAGAATGTCAAACATACAGTATGCACACAATCAAGATGAATACCCAGAATATTCCTTTAGGAAACTAAAGCAACATGAAAAACATTCTGCTTGTATGATGCATTTATTTTTAGAAATTCCCAATTTCATATTTTAGAACACAGAATGGGGCAACGGTCTAGAAACACAAATATTTTTTGTATTCTTCGATTTTTTTTTTTCCATACTTCTCCAGACCTAGAAATGACTAAAATCAAATTCCATACTTTTCCATACTGCGTAGGGTCCCTGAAAAGACATTAGTGCAGTAAGATATGTGTGTTCGCTTACATCCCAGTACGACGACCTTCCAGCGAGTGTCCTCACTCAAAAAATGCTTCACCAGATTGTAAGCCACAGGAAACAGTTTGGGTGCTGCAACAGAAACAGTCTTGAGATTCAGATATTTCAAAAGTGGTATATCACAGTGACATGCAAAATATGTATTGCTTATTAAATAACTCCTAGGTGTGAAAATATTCCAAATTAATAACTTTGGAAGTTTGAAATAAGTTTCGAAAATACTACTGACCTTTAATGACAAATAACCTCTTGAGTCCCTCTGGATAGTTATCTTCAAACATAGTGAGAACCTATGAAAAAACATTAAAGACATAAATATGAGCCTAATGCAACTGAAAGAACTAAAAAATATATTAATAATTGAGACACATTAAAAAAAAAAACACACACCTCTCCATAAGTCTCTATAGCAGGCTTATATAAGTGCTTCATTCCCAGACCTTCACAGTCATAGACCATAGTAATGGACTCAATGTTCCTACCCAACTGGGAGAGACGAAAGAGAAAACAGACAGACATAAACTATTAAATATGCATAAAACCATGATATGATTCATTATAACCTCTATTCTTTGGTGAAAGTAAAAGTTTATAAGTCTAGAATAAATTACATGATTTTGTGTTTTTTTCAGTTTGTTTTGTTCAGGGTTTCTAAACATTTTTGTCAGCTGAACTCACCGGATGTAAAATATTTATTTGAAGTACACTCTGAGAATTTAGGATAGCATTTCAATAATTTAACTACTATTATTTGCATATCAACAGTTGGTTATTTTGATGTTGGTTAATGGTCACATGGCATGCAAGTAAACATAATATATTTCATAGTTTGTGTTTTATTTTGATTGTTTTCATTTTAAAATTCTTTATATACAGTATAGGGCTGCATGACAAATTATACTGCCATTATTTTGTCATATTTTGCAATTGTACAAAGTCCCTAAAGGGACATGGTGATGGTTAAAAAAATTAAATAGGAGGAAAAAATAGATTTTAATGCATTTACATTCACTTGCAAAGTTTTTCCTCACAGCTGCACACCTACCTGTTCGCTCTGTAGGTCGCACTCTTTCTGCAGAATCTCACGGTCTCTGACTTTAGACTTGATTAAGTCCTGCTTGGACGCCGAATGCATCAGACCCTTAGGGTCCAAAGGTCCGATGACATCATACCAGACCGGGCTCCCTTCACGATCATGGCCACACATCCCACCACACAGATACTTGTCTATTACCTGAGCACAAAAATAAACATCAAGAGTAAATAACACAATTAATCTCTTAAATGGGACAGGAGAGTTTGTATATACTAAACATCAACATTGAAAAAATCCTATCCCACTCTGCGTACAATATTTACTGAAACCTACTAACTTACAAAAAATGTTCATTAAGAAATGACCATGTTTATAATGAGAGTGGGCAGGTCAGCCATTTCATCATAATAGAGGTCATATGCACAGAAGTCTTAAAGGGATAGTTCACCCAAAAATGACACTCATGTTGTTCCAAACCTGTATGAGTTTCAATATTGGTAACCAAACCTAACCATTGACTTCTAGTGTTTTGTTTATGCTATGGAAGTCAATGGCTACCATCAGCCCTTTGTTTCCCAACATTCTTTAAAATATCTTCTTTTGTGTTCAACAGAAGAAAGAAACTCATACAGGTTTGGAACAACGTGAGGGTGAGTAAATGATGACACTTTCATTTTTTGAGTGAACTATCCCTTTAAAGGTACAGTAGCAAAAACCACCTGTTCTATTCTTGAGGTCAATAAAACATGCCTGTTTTATGGATTAATGTACTAAAACGTCCATTCCAAATTGCACCAAATTCCAAATCAATGGCAAACTCTTACATTGAAAAGAATAAAAATATCTAATATTTACATTTTTGATAATAATAATAATACCAGGTTTTTGAGCCGCAAATCAGCATATTAGAATGATTTCAGAAGGATCATGTGACACTGAAGACTGGGGTAATGATGCTGAAAATTCAGCTGTACCATATACTGTATTAATTAATATATAATAAACAACTTTAAAAAATACTATTCACCAATAATACTGTTTTTGACGGTATTTCTGATCAAACAAATGCAGCCTTGGTGAACAGAATAATCTTCTTTCAAAAATAATACAATGTTACTGATCCCAAATTTGAACAACAGAAAAATATATAATAAAAAAAAAACAGATATGTTATATATGAAATACATGTGTTCTTTTATCCTAAAACAAATGTGTCATACCTCTGGCACCTGCCACTCCGTAAGGATGGTGTCAACTTTCATGTGTTTCCGAAATTCCATGTGCTGCACATGAAAAACAACACATGATTAAAAACATGCCTGTGTGTTTGCCTTAAAACTGTATTTACATGATCAGGATTGAGAACTAGCATCACAGCAACCTTTGACAGCGTTATCAGTTCTGTCTGAACAACATAATTTGCCGCCCTGAGTCTCTGTGTGTTAGTTAGATACTGCTGTGCTTTGACCTGAGGTTCAATGGATACTGGTAACAGAGTTCAGAGATACAACAAGATGGCGAGCAAAAGGTCTGTAATAAAAAACCCATGGACTACAGAAGCATCACTCACACAATGGGAAAGCAAACAGCACTTTGAACACCCAATAGCATAGAATGATCACGCTGTAATCGCCCATAAGCTGTGATTAGGCAGTGACGTGACTCATTATTTAAAACCTGAAAAGCACACTTGACTGCAGAACTGCTATCTGTCCCACATTCTAAGTCATCTCTTATGCACACCAAGGCTGCATTTATTTTACCTAAATTACAGTAAAAACAGTTTTTTTCTATTTTATAGTCAGCATCATTACTCTAGTCTTCAGTTACATGACTCTAAACCTTTGAATATTAGAGTATCACGGTTTCCACAAAATATTAATCAGTACAACTGTTTTCAACACTGATAATAATAATAAGAAATGTTTCCTGAATAGCAAATCAGCATATTAGAATGATTTCTGAAGGATCATGTGACACTGAAGACTGGAAAATTCTGAAACTTCAGCTTTGCATCACAGTAATAAATTATTTTTTTTTAATTACAATTAGTTCAATTTTAATACTATTTCACAATATTGCTCTTTTTACTATATTTTGATCAAATAAAAGCAGCCTTGGTGAACATAAGAGACTTCTATATAAAACATTGACATTTTTTGTTGTTTTTTGAGCTTTATCAACAAGTGATGAAATCAGCAATCCTCTCTTTGAAATCCAATCACAAGAGTTTTACCAGGTGTAAACAGGGCCTAATATTAGTGAGATTATATTACATACAGTTATTCAACATATGTGTTTTTTTTAACCTTAAACCGCATAAACACATTTCATTACACCAAATACACAAAATAATGTTCTTTTTAGCAACATCATATGACCCCTTTAAAGCCTCTGGGTAATGTACACCAATGCTGACATAAAGCCTGGCTTTGTGAAGGTCAGTCACACCCAAATTCATCACACTTAATGAATCCAGAGATTCACAGAAATGTTCTTCTTTCTGTACAGTTTGATGCAGTCTGTGCCCAAAGGTTAAATAATTACACATTACTCAGGATTGTGAACTTAAATTACAGAACTAGAGATACAAAGAGTTTGTTTATACACTGAATTAATAGCGACTTTAAATATGATGATATACATTACTGTTCATAAACTTAAGGGTCAGTAAAACATTTTTTAAATAAATATATTTTTTAATTATATTTATTCAGCAAGGATGCATTTAATTGATCAGAAGTGACAGTAAAGGCATCTATAACATCACAAAAGTTTTCTATTTCAAAGAAATGCTATTCTTTAACTTCTTTAATTCTTGAAAAATAAATCACTTTCACACTTCATCTAGCAGCACAATTATTTTAACTAATAATAAGAAAAAAATATCTGCTGAAAATTCAGCTTTGCAATCACAGAAAAAAATACAAATTAATATTTTTTTTTATTTTTACTACTATTATATACTATCTTCTTATATAGTATTATAATTTAGTATATACTGTAATTATATATATATATATAAATATATATATTATTTTTCCACCTTGGTGAACATAACCTTCTTTCAAAACAGAATCTTACTGATCCCAAACTTTGAACAGTAGTGTAAATATTGAAAAACTCAATGAAATAGTAAGTTTGTGTGATACCTTGCGCAGCATGGCCTCGGCTTTCTGAAGATTGAAATTTCTGGCTGTAAAACAAGACAGACAAGTTTCAAAATAAAGATTAGTATAGAAATGGAGAGAACAAAAACTAAATGTAACTGTTTTTCATCCATTATAACTAATTTATTACAGGAAGATTAAGTGTCTTGCAGGGTTTGAACCTACAAACCATTAGTTTCCAGCCCTAATCTTTAACCACAAGACTAGTACACAGACAAAATCCATTAATAAACTGGCACACTCACAGTATAAAGAGCAAACATGCTGTGCACATGACTTTCCTTAACATCCTTAGTCCGCAAGACAAGCTTTCATGCGTCTTAACTCAGTCAAGATAACCTGCACATAACTGGAAGCCTTGTGCCACTGAAAGTTACTACTTGGTAACAGATTAACTGTTGAGTTGAAAAGAAGGAAAGTTTGCAGGCTCTTGAGCAGACTAGTTAGGTCGCAGTGTGCTGACCTTCAGCATATTCCCATGTACTGTAGATAGGCATACTTTGGAGGGAAAAGCCTATCCTCAAACAAGTATTACCACAAAATACATTAATTACAAATTCAACCCAACCCAATTTCATTTCCACAGTCCTGTAAAGTCAGTGGATTAGTTTTATTGTCATCTAGTCACACTTGTCTGTACCAGACTGGCCTAGAGACATGACTGACCCAGAATTAGTCAGACATGGAGTCGTACGTAAGTATTTAATACTCATAAAGGAGATTATGTGACACAGCCGACATAAGCGCTCAGTGGATTGTGGAACGGATATGTCAACCGCTTTCTTATGAAGACTTTTAACGGTGGATACAGTGCCTTCTCTTCTTAAATACATCATTAATCAAACTAACTAGATTTAGTTAGTACTTTAGTTATTTATCAGCAGCAGCAAAGACAAACTAAGTAGTTGAAATTATATAATAATAATAATCATAATAATAATAATAAATAGTCAATAAATAGAAATATATTAATATACAATAATAATTGTATTTAGGGCTGCACGATTATGACAAATCATAATTGTCGATTATTCTCTTGAAATTGTAATTGCGATTATCTGAGCAAAGGGTCTGAATACTTAGGACCATGTGATATTTCAGTTTTTCTTTTTTAATAAATCTGCAAAAATGTCAACGATTCTGTGTTTTTCTGTCAATATGGGGTGCTGTGTGTACATTAATGAGGAAAAAAAATTAACTTAAATGACTTTAGCAAATGGCTGCAATATAACAAAGAGTGAAAAATTTAAGGGGGTCTGAATACTTTCCGTACCCACTGTATGTATGCATGAATGCAAACGCATGAACTACAGCACCCGTGCACTCAATCTTATACAGCAGTGAACTCATATCACATCACTGCAGACCCTCAATGACGTGTTTCACAATCGGGTGTTTATCTTATCAACACTTGTGAGGTGCTACAGCCTTTAATAACGAAATGTGCATGTGTCAACAGTCTCTAACGCAGCACAAAAATTATAATACTGGTATGCAGAAGTACATATATGAATAACCCAGATCACTTAGAGAAAAACATTCAGAGTCATGATTAATGACATTCTCGAGCTTCCATCATGCATGCTAGATGGCGTCACTGTTTACATGAATATACTAATTAAGCAATTCCATCAGTAGTCCTGCATAAAATCTGTGCTGCTAGTCTCTGTCTGGTGACTAGAAATCCCTGCAGAAGACTGGCTGCATTCAGAAACACAAAACAGCCTTTGTCAAAACCCAAGAACAGTCACAAGAACAGTCCAAACGCCACTCTATAGAGGGTCAGCTAAAAGTTTAGAGACCATATACATTTAGCAGAAAACTTTCAACAGAGCAACAAAAGATCAACTTAGAGGAACTTAAATATTAAACTTAACTAACGCTCCAGTTAAATCTGAACCCCAAACCTTTTCTTTTTCAGTGTGCGCTTTCTAAATGAAATAGCCATAAAGATTCAAATAACTTACAATTTAGAACATTTCTAACCATAACACTGCGTGAAGGCCTAATCGATCATGTATTGTGAGTTCCAGGACTCTCTGAACTCGTCCTCGCCGTTCCTGACTGCAGAGATACACGCAGCATTGATCCGATTACACTGATTCATACTGTCTGAACATGAGTCAGTACAGGACATGTCGTCTCTTTCTAGAATCTCGTGTGAAACCTATGATTCTATTCTACAGACTGTATCATTCCATGAGATTCTATTCTATGACATTATGGCCCGGGTTCACAGACAGGGCTTAGCCTAAACCAGGATTAGGCCATAGTTCAATTAGGACATTTAAGTAATTTTTATAAACATGCCTTAGTAAAAAGCATTACTGGTGTGCATCTTAAGACAAAACAAAGGCACTGACATGTTTTAAGATCCGTCAGTGCAAGTTTCTTTCAGTTGAAACAGCTCAGATTTACATTTTAGTCTAGGACTAGGCTTAAGCCTTGTCTGTGAAACCGGGGGTGTATATTAAATATGCCAAATCGTTCTGCAAGATTCGACTCTATACATAGTATCATTCTATCTGGTTCTTTTTAACAAATTGTATTTTGTGCCTCTATTCTATAGACATGATCGTTTTATAAAACATTGTATCATTCTATACAATTCTATTCTTTAGGCAGTATCAGTTTAGAAGATTTGATTTAATAGTTGTCATTATAGATTAATAGAATCATTCCACAATCTATAGGTCATGCACATTCTTTTACATTAATTAAGCTTATCAATGCCTGTCATAATATTGATATCTATGAAACAAAGACTTAAGACTTCTCAAACTAAAAAAAAATAATAATTTATGTATATATTAGTATAGAACAGAGGGAGTTTCTCTCTCTCTTTCATTCAACAAGAACTTAAGTAGAAAATTTATATTTAACCTACTAATTGTTCGTTGTGCATTATGAATGTGAGTGAAGTAGCTCACCTCTCAGCCATCGGAGCAGAAAGTGGTCACTCTGGGATGGACACTGGGGTAGAATATCCTTAACATTTTCTCGAAACTTAAGAAAACAGATGAATAATTATGCAATGACACAGTAAGAAGTTGCACATACATACATGTCTCGAAACTTAAAAAAAAAAAAAAAAAAAAAACAGATGAATAATTATGCAATGTCACTGTAAGAAGTTGCACATGCACATCCATTAGCAACATCTACTCACGTGCTGGCAACACTGCAAACTTGAGCAGTTACGTAATTTACACAACGATTACACAGCGATTAACTAACACTTTTGTACTCTTATGAAAGTCTACTGATTCTGCATTCAGAACGAGTGCGATTCGTCTGTTTTCATCTGCGGTGAGTGTGTGGCCTCTCTGACCGGGAGAATGTTTCATTCCAAAATCCACGACATACTCTTGAGAGAAATAAAAGAATAATAATTCACCTGAGCCAAAGCTTCGGCTTGTTTCACGCTCAGATCTCCAACTCGTCCGCTCATGTCTCCACGAGTACACCAGGAATAACTGTCTAAAAATCAGCTAGACTCAGAGACTGAGAGAGACTGCGAGCCGAGCGCTCAATGATGTTTCATGTCCCTCCCACTAGCTGCGCTGCGTCTCTACCGCTGGGGGCGCTGCGGGAGCAATCATCCATATTATACGGTTTAAGAAATTAATGCATAATCTATCACATCAAGATATGTGATAGATTATGTATATGTGTTATGTAATTATTCATATTATTATTACTAGTAGTAGTAGTATACGTGATAGTTTGCTACATATATTATTTTAGTGGACTTATTTTAGTGGATTGTTATTATTAGCTACTATTATTTTTTTTTGTTATAAATACAGTAGTGGAAGAAACAATGCTTTTACATATAAAACAATATAAATAATAATATTAAAAATTATTATTATTGTTGCTGTTATTATTATTATTATTATTATGAGTTATATATAGTGATTGTTTGTTACATTAGTGTAAGAAACAAAAATAAAAATAATAATAATAATATATGCAATAGTTTGTTACATATATATATAGTAGAATACATGTAATTGTTTTATAATAATTGTTAATATTATTGCTGCAATTCTTGTTACTATTATTATTAGTATTAGTAGTAGTATTATATGTGATAGTTTTCTACATATATTTTAGTGGACTTATTTTAGTGGATTATTATTATTAGCTACTACTACTATTATTATTTGTTATAAATACAGTAGTGGAAGAAACAAGACAATGCTTTTACATATAAAACAATAATAATATAAAAAATTATTATACTGTTGCTGTTATTATTATTTTTAGTTCTATATAGTGATTGTTACATATTAGTGGAAGAAACAAAATTAAATAAAAATAATAATAATAATATATGCAATATATAGTAGAATACATGTAATTGTTTTATAATAATTATTAATATTATTGCTGCAATTATTATTAGTTACTATTATTATTATATACAATAGATTGTTACATCATATATAGTAGTGGAAGAAACAAAACTTTGTTTTTACAAACAATAACAACAATATGATTAGTGTTGCTTATTATTATTATTAGTTACTATATAGTGATAGTTTGTTAAATATTAGTGGAGAAAACAAAATAATAATAATAATAACAATTATTATTATTATGTGATAGTTTGTTACATATATCATAATGTATGAAACTAAATGGTGTTTTTACTTATAAAATAATGATATCATAAATAATTAATATTGGTGTTGTTGCTATTATTATTATCATTATTAGTTACTATTATTATATGTGATAGTTTGTTACATATATAGGAGTGTAAGAAACAAAACATTGTTTTTTACATATGAAATATATACATTTTTTATTTTGTATTCAATATTTAATTAAAAAAAGTACAAAAGTTCTTTGTACATAATAAATGTGACCTACAAAAGTTTTCAAAACATAATAAATAATGCATAACATTTTTTTACAAACCAGAAAAGGAAAATAAATAATATCTTTACAGCTATTTACCATTGCATATCAAATTCTATTTGATAGATAATTTTCTCTTGCTTTCTTTCATAATGAAGCACTATTCCATGCCTGTCTGATTTGTCTCCATGGTGTTCCTAAAACAGACGCAGCAATGAAGAAGAACACTAGAACGAGACCTTTAGCCAGAGCCTGGGAATATGGCTCACCTGCAAAAAAACAAAAAAATTTAAGACTGAATTAAGGTTTTAGGTTAAAATGTATAAATTTTTTGTGAAAGAGAAACTGTATGTTTAGGTGCTGTGCAGCTCACCTAAACAGTTCTGCAGTGTGAATAATTACATTTTAAAAGCTCATAACAACTGCCTACACAAGAATTACAAAAATGATGTTTAAAATAGTTGTAGATGAGGTCTCTCTAGCATGTCACACTGCAGGAGACTACTGTTAGTGCTTCATATTTCACATCAAACATCCAAATATACCAAAACATGAACGATAACTTATTTTAAGAATGTGCTACAACTTCAGCACAGACTCCAACACATAGAAAAAAACAAAAATGATATAGTATATTAAGTGTTGCTGACTCTTTCAACAGAACAAGAGCTTGTAACACTCCAAAGAGAAAGGAAAACTTGAAATCGCATCATATGACCCCTTTAAGGTTATTTCGGTCTCATTCTATTAGTAATCATAAGAAACCCAAGCCCTCACCAGTATAGTATCTCGTGAGAGGGAAGGCCAGCTCGGGCCAGCACACATCGTTCCTGTCACAGTCAAACTCGGTGAAGTTAATACTGAACCTGCAGCAGAGAAGATACCCGAATAAACCTTCAGAGTTAAACTGAAACTGTAAACATAAATACATTTAGAAATTAAAATGCAACTGTAAGCTCACTTATATGTGTGCGTGTAGGACCCACCTGGATCTAGGGGGTTGTGTAATAAGAGGATTGTCAGTAAAGGTCACAGACGAGGTCACAGGGAAATTTTGCATTAGCTCTGGGTTTGAACATGGGTTCACCCTGCCCATACCACACTCTATCCTCCATGTTGTTTCTATGAAACTGAAAATTGGAATCAATCATGGAGTCAATGAAAAACAGAACGTTCTCAAAGTATCACAAGTCTGTATATGCATCCAGACATCACGCTCAAACATTAATGAAAAGCTATCATGTTTGTTATCAGGAAAGTGAGATGATAAGAGCAATACAAGGCTGAATGAAGCAGTGCTGTACCTAATCTCCACTGCCTGGATGAACGTCTGAGGCACACCCTGCACACTTCCCATGATGCCGCTCCACACGTGGATGTGGAGGTGGGTGGGAACAGCTGAGCACTCTCCAGTGCTGCTCTCTGCTGGCTGACTGGAGTTCTGCACTGAAGCTGAAATGCAAGAGCAAGAATAGTTTTCATTCAATCACTTAAAGCAGTAGTCAGCTTTTTCAGGTGCATTTTTTATGTTTTTGAAAGAAGTCTCTTCTGCTCATTAAGGCTACATTTACTTTGATTAAAAATACAGTAATATTGTGAAATAATATTGCGATTTAAAATGTTTTCTATTGGAACATATCATTTTAAAATCGAATTTATTCCTATGATGACAAAGATGAATTTTCAGCATCATTAGTGCAGTCTTAATCATTCTAGAAACATTTCCTATTATTATCAATGTTCAAAACAATTTTGTTGCTTAATATTTTTGTGGAAACCATGAAACACTACCATTCAAAAGTTTGGGGTAAGATTTTTTTTTTTTTTTTAAGAAATGAATAATTTCATACAGCGAAAACACATTAAATTTATCAAAAATGACAGTAAAGGTATTTACAAATAAAATAAATTTTCTTCTTCTGAAATTTCTATTCCTCCTGAAAAAAAAACATCAGTTTCTGCAAAAATACTAAGCCGCAAAAACTGTTTTCTACACTGATATTAAAAAAAAACTATAATAATTGAACAGTGAACACCTATAATAACTTGTAACAAATGAACACCAAATCAGCATATTAGAATGATTTCTGAAGAACATCGAGACACTGAAGACTGGAGTAATGATACTAAAAATTCATCTTTGAATCACAGGATTAAATTATGCTTCAAATTAGATGAAAATAAAAAGTTATTTTAAATTGTAATAATACTTTACAATACTACTGTATGTTTGATCAAATAAGTGCAGATTTGGTGTGCATGTAAATGAAAATGCTTTTTAAAAAATTATTCCAAACATTTGACCGGTAGTGTTCAGCCTGATCAAAATTTAAAGCTTCAGCTACGCATTTTATAAGACAAAGTATAACTAGACTCTAAAACAGTTTCATATGTTATACATATGTGACCCTAGACCACAAAACCAGTCTTAAGTCGCTTGGGTATATTTTTAGCAATAGCCAAAAAAAAACATTGTATGGGTCAAAATAATAAATTTTTCTTTTATGCCAAAAATCATTAGGATATTAAGTAAAGATCATGTTACATGAAGATATTTTGTAAACTTCCTACCGTAAATATATCAAAACTTAATTTTTAATTAGTAATATGCATTGCAAAGAACTTCATTTGGACAACTTTAAAGGCCATTTTCTCAATATTTTCATTTTTTTGCACCCTCAGATTCCAGATATTCAAATAGTTGTATCTCGGCCAAATATTGTCCTAGCCTAACAAACCATACATCAATGGAGATCTTATTAATTCAGCTTTCAGGTGATGTTTAAATCTCAATTTCGAGAAATTGACTGGTTTTGTGGTCCAGGGTCACATATTACAGATAATTGTACGATGTAGTGCTCACTAGTAATGTTGACCCAGTCTGATAGGTTGGTAAAGTTTGGTTTTCCTGTTGTGGAGACGAGCGTAGCAGGCACTAATCCAGCAAGGGCACCACGCACTGTTTCTCTGTGAAACCACACGCAAAAGAAGCCTTTTCAGATGAAACTCTTCTACAGGAATCTATTGTATTGTCCTCAAAACCCTTCAGCGGTGCTACTCACCTCAACTGACTGCACTGCGTCATATTCAGCAAACTCGCAGGAATCATACAGCCTGATGTGGAGTTGATCCCAAACAGAGCTGGTCTCAGTTCAGCAGAGGAGCACATGCCATCTCCACCTGCGGAGGACACCACACAGGATCAAACTAATGTTTTTTTTTGGTAGTAGTTTTATATTTATGAATATGCATTAGCTGCACTACCTGGTTGCCAGAGATTGATCTGGGCCCTCTGTATATCTTCTGTATCAGAGTCCAAAATACCACCGATCACTGGCCTCTTCACCTGGTAACCTGTACAAACATTAGGAGAAAAAAAGTGTAATGCATGATAACTCCTTTTCTGACCTAATATAATGTTCCTGAGCATCTCAAACTGATGAATCATGGGAGTTCCTTTAACCTGGATTGCCAGAATTCGACTGAGATGTTTCATTTCCATTCACAAACACTGCAGAGTATCTTCTGGTCAAAGATACTAGACGGGAGGCAAAAGAGAAAGAGAGAAAAATGATAGGGAGTGCATAAGAAAACAGGTGCAGTGAAGAGGTGTGTCATATTGTGAGACTCACCAGGTACAGTGATGTTCGCAGTGGTCCGTGTCACAGTAATGGCAGTGAGGCCGTTCTCTCTCCAGTAAAGAGTGTAACGCAAGGCCACAACAACATTACCACACTGTTGTGACACTTAAAAAAAAATTATAATAATTACACAATGAAAAGTTTTCCAACTTTACACTTCATGTCAATCTTGACAACAATGGTACTAAAAGAGAAATGATAGTAATACTTTCTGTATTATTATTTGCTATGTACACTACCATTCAAAGGTTTGGGTTATTTTAAAGATCACGAAGACTGCATTTATCATCATTCATATCATTTATTCATCACAGAGTAAACACAAAAATACTGTAAAATATTATTATTTAAAATAATTGTTTTCTATTTAACTACATTTAAACTATCATTTACATTGTGATGCAAGGCTGAATTTTCAGCATCATTACTCTAGTCTTCAGTGTCACATGATCCATCATTTTTTTTTATAAAACATACTCCACACATTTTTTTTAAATGTAATATTGAATATACTTAGTATTAAATAAATGACTGCTGGAAATGTTCATGCAACTGACCAGATATAGGCTCACGAGAATTAGCCAGAAATAATCTGAGGTCATCGGCCATTTCATCCACAACACTGACTGTGACGATACCTGGAACGTATGCAAACATATGAACAGTCACACATATGCATATTTGCATGCATGCACAGAAAGACAATAATACGATCAATAGTCGTAAGCTATATTTACATATCTACAGCATATTATTGATGGTATACCATAACCACACTATCCCTTAAAAGTGTAATGTTGCATTTTAAAACACTGATAAATTGCATGTGACATTAGAATTTTTTCTCTTCAGAATGTTTTATCATATATGGATACTTTTTTGGTTATGCAGGTTCAGGAATTTCATGCATCTTTTTGCAAAACCTTTGTAAATACATTTGAACCTTGAGTTGTTACAGGACCGATAAGAACAGTTGGTATCGATGGCATAATGTATCATATTGTAATCTGTGGTTGATGTTCTTGTGTTTGGTGGTGATAATAAAAGGAGGATAGGAAAGAAAACTGTTATACTGTATCGCTACCTCCCCATCCATCTTTAATATCCACTCTCAGGTCATCAGAATGTGGTGGACAGGACTGCAGCCTCCTCACGCACTGAGACTCAAAGTTTTCCAAAAACGCCACTGGAGCATTTTCCGCACACTGGCCCAGTCCAGAGTTCTGCTCACAAGACAACTGGGATTCATATGCATATCACATGCATGAATGTGCACACTCATATAAACTGATACTTGCACTAGCAATGTTGCAGCATTTAACCTGTGGGATGGTGAAGTATTGGTCATCCTTAGTGAATATTGGATCCCCCTGACGGTAGTTAATGGGAGGTACAGGAGCTGTCATCTGCAGGGCTTGGAATGATGGACTGGGCTTTGGAGAGCTGTAAAAACACATGCAAATGTAGAAAATCACCAAACATTTTGGGATCAGTAAAAAATTTTTTTTAAATAAATTAGTAATTTTATTTCGCAAGAATGAATTATATGCATTATATAGTTCTTTTGAAATTTCTGTTCATCAAAGAATCCTGATGAATCACAAGAAATGTTTGTTGAGTACTAAACCAGCAAATTAGAATGATTTCTGAAGGATCATGTGACACTGAAGACTGGAGTAATAGCTGCTGTATATTCAGCTTTACCCTCACAGGAATGAATTACAATTTTCAATATAAAGCAGAAAAGCATTATTTCAAATAATAATAATATTTCACAATATCAATGTATTTTGATTAAAAAATAAAGCCTTGGTGAGCAGAAAAAAACTTCTTTCTTACCGACCCAAAACTTTTGTACATTTTTCAGTAAGTGTAATACATGAATTTAGACATAAACAAAACTTCCTCTCCTTACACGGTCCCACCATTGTAGAAAAGTCCCAGAAAGGGGTTGTTGTCCGAGGGGGAGGCGACACAGAGGAAGGGGAACCAATCAGGGTCATTTTCAGAAGACTGAGCTGAGCACTGATACTCTGGAACAGGACTGAAACTTCCCCCGAAACGTCCAGGAAGACACTGAGTCGCAAACAACCCCAGAACTTCTTGAGTACAGTCCTGAAAAAAACAACAACAAAAAAAACAACCACTCATAGAAAACCTTAGACTTCCTGATTCCCCTATGTTAATATTTCCCGCTCAGATCAGCTTTATGAAATATTTATTGTGTACTGTGCTAGACTAAAGGAGACTTGTCACAGCACTTGTATACTGTTGCTCTCTCGTTCGTCTGGTTGCTTCTATTGTTCTTCCTCATTTGTAAGTCGCTTTGGATAAAAGTGTCTGCTAAATGATTAAATGTAATTGTAATGAAACATCCCATAGAAATGAATCATAGATTTCCATGAACAGCATGATTTTTTTTTGTCAAATGTGCACATAAAATGGAAAAATGTTTTTGAATATTATTCTAATGAGGGCTGGAATGAATTGTGCAAGCAATTTTTTTAATAAAATGATTAAACTATGCAGTAAAAGTTGCTAAACCAGGGGCCTCATTTGTGACCCTGGAGCACAAAACCAGTCTTAAGTCGCTGGGGTATATTTGTAGCAATAGCCAACAATACATTGTATGGGTCAAAATTATCGATTTTTCTTTTATGCCAAAAATCATTAGGATATTAAGCAAAGATCATGTTCCATGAAGATATTTTGTAAATTTCCTACCGTAAATATATCAAAACTTAATTTTTGATAAGTAATATGCATTGCTAAGGACTTAATTTGGACAACTTTAACCCTTTAACTGTCACCCGTCCCCTCTGTGGGACGCCTAAGTTTACTTCACTATATTACAATTAAATCCTAATCTAATCATGACAAACTATATATCGTTGGAAAGGTCTAAGGCTGCGTTTACACTGGCAGAAAAAATCTGATTTTTTTTGCCCACATCTGACACAGATCGGAATTTGATGCATGCGTGTAAACAAAAAAATCCACACGAGATCCGATTTTTTCGCATCCGATCTGAGCCACTTCAAAATGTGGATTTTAATCGGATACATATCCGATATCTGGACATCCGACCTGTGTCTAAACACACATATCCGATTCCCCGCAGAACTCCCAATGCGAGGGCGACACGTTTGCCCATAAAGATAGCGTTTTAATGCCGGTGAGCTGTATGCGCTCGCATTTTATAGAGATGGAAACTTTTTAAAAAATTGCATATTCAGGAGCTGGTTTTCAACCCCTGTCCCGTGAATTTTATTAATACAACAGCTTCGCTACTAAAAGCTACATTATTTTCTTAGCAATGAGGTGACAACTTTTACTTGTTCGCAAGCTTCACACTCACTCTCTCTCTCTCGTTAATTCATTCGAATTCATTTAAATAAATATCGTCTTGGCATTACTTTATTTCACTAAAGAATTCTACCTCTAACGAGCTGTATAAAATAGCATACCAAATGAAAATTACCGTCATTTTCCGTTATTTATCCGTTCAGTCAGATTTTGAGCTGCAAAACATCCATGACAGCCGTTGTCCATGCTGGAAAATAATAGCTCAATGGCCACTCGACGTGAATTATATAAATAATTTAATAGCACGGCCATTCAAAACCCGAGGGTCTACCATGTGCCTACAAAGCGATCACTCACAATCATTTTGGGTGGGAATTATGTAAACACAGATATCGGATACCAGTCGTGTCTAAATTGAATGTAAACAGACGGGCCAAAAAATCGGATATGGTCAAAAGATTGGATCTGTGCATTAAGACATGCAGTGTAAACGCAGCCACTGAGTGCAGCAGAAAATGACAGAGGATCAACCAACTTCCATGCACGATAATCAATCAAGGATTTAACAACAGGTTTTGGAATGTAAAAATTGCAAGAAAATTCAATCAGTTTATGATCAGAGATACCTATGTCAGAGCCTTTTAAGGCATTAATGTCGATGCCAGTAGAGCAAACTAAATCCAGTGTATGGCCAAAAAGTAATAGATTAATTTATGACAAGAGTGCACCTCAAAAATCTACATCATAACAGGAGTTCTGACCTTTGTCAAAACAAGTCTTCTTTGTTGCCTTTTTCTCTATCACACTTTAGAAATCATCAGAAATTATATATCAATTGAAAACTTTAAATCTCAAAATTCATCCTTTGAAACCCATTTTAAAATCAAACATTGCATTACCATGAAAATGGTACATCAATATCATGTTACAAAATGTTTTCGTTTATGAATTATAAAAATTTAAGTTTGGATCATGCACTTTCACGTCTATGTTCAAAAATGTGAGTGACAGTTAAAGGGTTAAAGGCGATTTTCTCAATTTTAGATTTTTTTCCTAACAAAAAGCAAACAAGCTTATTTATTTAGATTTCAAATGATGTAAAAATCTCAATTTCACAAAATTGACCCTTATGACTGGTTTTGTGGTCCAGGGTCACATTTATAAAACTCTCTGTAGATTTCATCCTAAAAGTGTTCATACGCACAAAAGCTAGATTTTACGTACGCACAAAAGTTTTCAGATTTGTAAAAGTATGCGTACGCCAGAACCTGTGCAAAAATCCCTTTATAATCGAAGTCAAGGGACAATTGCGCGTACGTGCATCTCCACCCCGTCTCCTCCCTGAAATCACCATATATGGAGCTTACAACGCCTAGTTTTACGATGCATAACCTCATCTGCATAGTGCATATCATTTCCATGCATATTCCCATCCACGTGACACCATGTTTAACACCGTCAAAGATAAAAGACATTAAGTAAATATGAGATGCGGACTATAAATGCCATTTATTGATAAAAATCATCCAATGTCCTTGTTATGTTTTAGAATAAATATGAATAGAATCAAAATATCCATAAAAACAAAACTGTTTAAAATGGTTATCAGAGAAATATTTTAGATTAGAGTTGATCTCATTGTTTTACACTGGCCAAATAGTATTTCAATTGTTTTAAACAATTCAAATCAAATTAAATTTATGCAGTTTTGCTGATAAGGTGAACATCTTTTAGCTATTTTTAGTGAAAACCGATAGGTCAGTGTAAATACAATTGTCTGACTCGGCGTGTCACTGACATTTTAAAAAGGAAACATGTAAATCTTACCATTTTCCTTAAGTTGTATTCTTCAAATACAGTGGTATTTTTCATAATGTTGTGGAGATGCCTACACATGACATCAACCACCGTGCAGCTATGGTTGTACAGTAAGCTATTATCATTGGACATATTCAAACCGGACAATGGACCGTTCGACCACCGAATCCAGCAGTGTCCACGCACCATAAGTGCGCATTATTGATCATTGTTGTCGCTAAATATTTATATTTTCTCATAACATGAGATCTGCAGTTTAGTTTAAAGATTAATTATTGTGCACCTATTGCACTCCTTGCTGTCATTAGAACATAGCCACAGGGAAAGTGATCAATCGCATCCACTATAAATGTGTCTAAATTCATAGATTTTTTGTTTAACTTCTGCGTAATGACTTTAGGTCATTTCAGTGTTTATCTCCATTAATGAGAGTAAATGTGTATATCAAAATGAGAACAGAGTTTAAAATCCTTGTTTACTTCATTACTTTTCTCTCTCCAAGAAAAAGAGTGCGTACGCACAGTCAAGAGCATCTGTACGGTGCACACATACAGTATTTACACCAAGTTTTGTTTTTTATAAATCCAAATGCATGCGTGGAAAACAGCATACGCACATTTCTATGCCCATTTTGTGCGTACGCAACGTTTATACAGGACTGATCATTAACGTGGGGCTTAGCAAAGAGTAAACAGCAGAATGCCAATGACAAGGATTGATATATTAGAAACAGATATTCAGCTGTCTATGCTTTAATTATTACCTGGTCACAACAGCAGCGTATGTCACACTCGCCTGGGGAAACATCACATGGGCAGCGGCCGAGAGGCTCAAACACTTGGTTGGGAATGACGGTTTTATTTTCTGCAAATAAATAAAACACACACAAAAGACATATATCATATATGAGCATTAAAGTATAATGACTACTCTATGAAATAGTATAGTGGCACCATGGTATAAATGATGGTATCGAAGTGAATTACATTGCATTCAAGGAAAATACATGACCAGTTCATGCATTCCCTGGCATGACCTTGCTGTTACTAAAGCAATGCTCTATTGCTCGTAGTGTTCCTCATTTGTAAGTTTACTTCTGCTAAATTAATGCAAATGTGAATGATTGAGCGACAGGAATACTCATGAACCAGGGTATTTCATGGTACTCCAATAATACTGTAAATATTTCAACAACAATTGTAGTACCACAGTAGTAAAAACCACTAGGATGTACTGCAGCACTTCATATTCAGTTCCATGCAAACAGACACTAACCAGACGGGGGTTTGTTGGGGACGATCTGGGCATAAATCTGGGTCTGTATGATGAGTGAGGCTTTGGGAGTTTCATCCACACATGCAGACACGAGGAGAGTCTCCGGGAGACACAGAGGCTCCAGGCAGCAGTCCGGGACAGATGTTTCATTCCCACACAGCTGCAGACTGCGGTTGAGACTCAGTCGCACCAGCATGGCATTCTGATATATTGATAATCAAAAGAAAGAATATAATGGTATTCAGTAGTGCAACACTCCAGTATGGCAGGTGTATTGTCTCATTTTTAAAACTAAATTCATACTTTTTTTTTCAGAAAATATGCATTAAATTGAACAAAAGTGACAGTAAAGACATTTATAATATTACAAAAGATTTTTATTTTTAAAATAAAAGCTGTTCTTTTGAACTTTCTATTCATCAAAGAATCCTGAAATAAATTAAGAATAATTGTAAAAAATATTATAACAGAAATATTAAGCAACACAACTGTTTTCAGCATTGATAATAATCAGAAATGTTTCTTGAAGAGCAAATCAGCATATTAGAATGATTTCTGAAGAAAAGCGTGACACTGAAGACTTTTTGGTTTAGGTGTGGAGTTCTCAGGCACAGCCTCAGGCAGATGTTTCAACAAAACAATAATGCATGTCATTTAGTGTGATGAGGAAAGCATAGATTTATACATTAAGGAAACCAAGCGGTAAAAATGTACAGTTAAGCCGCTCCTTCTGCTCAGGATTCTGCTTGAGGTGATTCCCTAAATAATCATGATTCAAAACACCCACCACAATTTTGTAAGTGGTATGTCATTGCAGTTTGTCAAACTTGAATGTCAGGGATATTCCCATCATGTTTACTGAAGAAGTCAACCTGATGAATTATGACGACATCTAGATTTTATAAGAACAATAGATAAACCTTTTTTAAAAATCAGATCCATTCCATGCTATGAGCTGAAGCAAACATTACAATTTAAAGGGTCATTTAAAAGGAAAAGTATTATGAATAATAGTATTACCCTGTCTTGTGGATGTTATAATAAAGCCATCTCATTAAAAATCTTGCATGACAAGATATTTATTGAATTCATACTACTGGTCTGTTTAAGTGTATTGTCTAAGAACTCACCAAAACAGCATTTATTTGATCAACAATACAGTAAAAACAGTAATATTGTGAAATATTATTACAACTGAATGTAATTTTCTTTTATTTTAATATATTTTAAATGTAATTTATTTCTGTGATGCAAAGCTGAATTTTCAGCATCACTAATTACTTCAGTCTTACATGATCCTTCAGAAATCACTCTAATATGCTGATTTGCTGCTCAAGAAACATTTCTTATTATTATCAATGTTAAAAAAAAATGGTTGTGCTGCGTAATATTTTTGCAGAAAATGTGCAACTTTTTTTCAGGATTCTTTGATTATTGGAAAATTCAAATGAACAGCATTTATTTGAAATAGAAACTGTTTATAACATTATAAATCTCTTTACTATCCCTTTTGATCAACTTAATTCACCTTTGATCTTACTGACTTCAAATGTTGGAACGGTCACATTTATTCTTGGAAGACGCTTTCTTACTGCAGCAACTTACAAGAAAGTGACATATCACGTCAGTGGAAAGCACCAGAAAAAGGACCTACGGTACTGATTACTGACTGTCTGAATGCTCTATTAAACTCTAAAGCTACTGCTATTCAAACTTGTGTAGAAATATTGCAAACAGAAAGGAAACTCATTTCTCATTTTACTAAGTTATCCCCTAAAAGACCACTAAACTTGCCCTGGGCAAGTTCTGCAGCTCATATAAATCTCTGTACAAACTATTTTCCTGACAAGGCTAAACAGGAAAACAGTGGGGGAATTTCAGTCATGCACAAAAACGTGATGCGTAGGTGATCATCACACCCTGCTTAATGACAGGTTGTCTGGACTAAAGGTTAATAACACAGATTTCATTTTCCTGATATTTCAACAGGGATTTTTCAAGTTAATTGCATGTTGTGTTGATGCTTGTTTACTGCTGTAAATTCTTTCCATGTTGCCCCACATTGTCCATGTTGCTGATTTTAACTCCTAATCAAAATGAAGACCCCTCAATACTACATAAACCTACCATTAATGCGGCGGGATCAACTCACCTTCCCAATTAATTCATTTGAAAGATTCCACTGTGTTTGAGAAACCGGCCTACAGGATGATGACGGGATGCTTCCTGAAGAAGTTCACAATGAAAACATTCATTAAAGTTCAAGCATTGCAGTTAACATTTTTATACAGATACTAAAGGTGTCTGCTAAATGAAACAGTACACAGTACATGAAACCTAAAGTAAAGCCAGACCAAATGTTCTGAATCTGGAACACTTTTGATTAATGGAAAAAAAGACATGGAAAACTAAAAGAGTCTTAAAAAATGTGAATTATGCACAAACGATTATTTATGAACAGAACATCATAACAGCATTTCTGGGTATCTAAACACAACTCTGATGCCCAAACACTAGATTCATAGCAGTTAAAATGCAGTTATTATTAAAGCATCGACATGCTTTGAAAAATTGTCTACCTGTTGCATTTGAGGATGAAACAGCACTGAGGCTGAAGGAAATGCCAGACAAGTTTCCCACCAGAAAGGATGATATTCTCGGACCAGATGCCAGAATAAACGCAGGCTGAAACACTGAAATAATCATACATTCATATATTCCATATTGACTACAGGTATGCATTTGTGTATGTACATTTGGAATATAAGGGTTTATTTAAATACTCATTAAGTTATTAATTAATACAGCATTAATTAAGATCATTAATACATGTCTTAAGTGTACGTTCAAGCTGTGTTTCTCCATGGCAACAAGATGTTTGCTAGCAGTTATCCAGCTAACGTAGCTGACTTTGTTTTGGGATTCACACTGACTGTCTTAACTGATATTTAATTCGCTCAAAGCTCACTTACCAACATTACAGATAGTTCCGTCATTTAAGAGCATAATAATTATACACAGAAAATGAAATACGACGTGAGAGGATAATAATCGTGCCATAATGTGGCGTTGGTTTAACTTTAGTGAAACCTCTTCTTCGTGTTGGCGCGACGGCGCTACACAGAATAGATCGCCTCATTAGCGCCGCTCAGTGGCGTTTAGCGCTGGTGCGTGTGCTTGAATGACCTAACAGCTGCGGATTTGAGGAAGTACAATCAGACAGAATCTCTAAAGAAGCAGCTTAAATCTTAATGCAGGCACTAAATAATATCTTTATGGACTTCCAAAAGTCAAAAGTTGTATTTTAGGGTTGGGATTAGTCTGCAATCATTGGAATTCACTCTAAGGACCCAATAAAAAGTTCCTTTTTACACACATTTGTGTGTTTCTGACCACCTAGATGTTCACTTGGGTACAAAATTATGTATAAACATGAAAAATTATTAATAAAGAGACTGTAAATAATACTTTTATTCAGTTTTAAACTGTCAAAGTTGTATTTTAGGGTTTATGAGAGTTTATGGTCATTTTATTTAGTAGGCCTATTACTGTGCAGTTAAGTGCAATTCCCTATTTAGACAGATGCATGTGTGTGAGAACTTTTTAAATATACAGTTTACCATGTGTTTATGCATTTATCATGTCTATGAAGTCAGGACTTAATATGAAAAATACAATCCCACCAATATTTTTTTGTCAACCAATTTATTCACTATAAAATTGCAACAAGATGATTATCAAAATAGAAAAAAATAGAGTAATATCTTCACACAACAGCAACTACAGGGAAGATCAGACCACTTGGAGTGTTTTGATCATTTAGGTTGAAAAAGCTGAAAGAGGGAGAACCTAAATGTGTTACAGAAACTGAAGTGAGCTATGTCACAATGACTACATCAGCTGCCATTAAAAGTATATATGCGTATGTGTTCAGTCAAAAAGACAAATTCTTCAGGGCGTGACAGCGTTTCTCCTGAAATAAAAGAACACAGAGAAAACCATTAGTTACAGCCTGCTTATAAAGAGATGTTACACTTTTACTCGACTTGAATTTAATTGTTCTAATAGTTCTTATTTGAATTATTTGAAATATTGATTTGCTGCATGTATAATGCAACATGCATGGTGGTCGGCATAAGAAAGCAACTCATACAGGTTTGGAACGACATGAGGGTGAGTAAATGATGACAGAATTTTCATTTTTGGGTGAACTATCCCTTTAAAGCTTTGCCGTAGGAGGATGTTTTGGCTTGTGGTTTCACAGCTGAATAGTTTGTGGTTTTGTATGAGTAAGACTATAACATCCGAATCATGATCTACTACACATAAACAATGTCATGAGTCAGATGAAAACCAGAAAGGAGAAAGTGACCTGCTGCAGGGCTCGTGCAATAACAATGACGAGCTGTTGTGCAACCAGCTTTATGTCATCAGATACTACAGAAGATGACCGAGGAAACAAAACTGTGAAGCTGTGATGAATCTGCGGTGAATTACATACATGAAATTTGGTTGCTTTGCACTTCTTGAGCCTAGTGTCCAGAAACTTGATCGTCTCTTTAACCCAGTGCTCTTCCGCTGCAGGTGGGGCACAAAGATTCAAATCTTTCCTTGTTATGAATCTGAAAGGGAGTTGATTTTTGCACATTATTTGACTAGAACAGTAGACAATCCAAGCATTGTTATGTTGAGCGCAATGGAATTCCCCATTAAATAGGCTCTTTCACATCTGCTTTGTTTGAAAATGTGATCATAATTAGTTTAATTCACTCCCAGGCTCCCACACATGAGCCAGTCCAATAGTTTCCTTTGAAGAATATACTTACACAACAGCATCTCGGGGGCAGCCATCAACTCTGAACTGCTTCCGGTAAGTGAGGAGGACATGTTTAGGGATGACTTTGTGGCTAACCGTCAGGCAACAGTCCAATGCTAAGTCTGCCTGAGCCTCTGAGAGAGATCGAGACAAAAGATAAATAAAAAAACGATAAGGGACAAGAGATGGAAATACAGGAGAATGGGTGTCTGCTTCGAGAGTAGTCTGAAAACATCTGTAAGAAAAAAGAAAGTGTCTTGGCACAAATATATAGTTTGCAGTAAAGCGAAACACGTGCGATGCACAGCTGGAAACTAGTGGGAGTAATAACTAACTACAAATAAAAAGCTCATTCATTTATTAACGATTTATTTAGATATTTTATTTTTTTGCTTTTTTTTTTTTTTTAAGGCATTTGAACGAAATGTAATTCATATTTTGAATATTATATATATATATATATATATATATATACATGTATACACACACAACAAAAATTTCTATAATTTTCACATGTATATATATATATATATATATGCATGCATACTATATATAAACTGACTGATCACCGTTGGGATGACTCACAGTTTAAATCTATTTAGATGATTAGATTTTAGTTAATCTGAAAAATTATTAAAAGATTACTAACTAGAATTGTTGAGATGTTACACATCTGCTATCATATATAAAGGATAAGAAGAAATAAATGAGAAATAAATGAACAAATAGATCACATGTGTAACGGAGGCCAGCGAGAGAACGAGGTGTGGCGGTGAGGACCCGGGGGAGAGGGGTTACACATGCACCATGCACTCATGAAGCACATAAAACAGATGAAAGAAGAAAACATGACTTACCTGCTGGACTGCTGTAGAGAATGAGTGCCAACGCACAGAGAAGCACACTCAGCGCAGATACGAGGGCTGAAGCCATGGTAACCGTGACAGGAGATGAGATGGTGGAACAAGTGTCTTGTCTGTCCTGCTGAAGCAGCTGGAGGATCTTTGTCTCTTCTCTGACACTCTCCTCTCACTGCTCCATCGCTCCCCTGCTTTATAGGACGGTCATAAGTTTCATTATTACACAGACGTTTATCATAGTCCCTCCCCTGTACTGCAAAAAATAAATGTCAGAGCAGCAGAGGTTGTGACCTGGACAAAATACTTTTTTTTTTTGAAGGAGGGCCGAATTTACGGCACAATGCATCACATTCTGTGTATCTGTTCCTCGCTCTCTTTTCCTCTTCTCCGCTTGAACCCACATAGAAACTCTCACAGACTCTCACATACTTTCTCACTCAAAGTCCACCAGACTGGCAAATGTTTCGATATGACTGAAGAAGCAGTTCAGATAAACCTGACAGACCGTTTGGTCGGCTTCTCGATGTCAACTCAAAGCTGGGGATTCCACTGGGTTAAAAAAATATATATTACGTAACTACTGTTAATGTTTACTCAGTGTCACAAAGTTAATTATTATTTGTGCATGTGTGTGATTGGAAAGCACACAGTGAATTCTGTTGGGTTTATTGTACAAGCAGAAGTGTATAAGTTCTGTTTGATGTCTTTAATGATAGATTGGCTTAATGGCTGAATATTAAGGGTTGTAAACTGAGAGTTATTTGATTAAATGCTTAAATGTGTAGCAGTTAGAAATGTAGAGCAAATCTAAAAGTATTGTGGGTATAAACATGCCTTTATATGCAGCACTGCCATTGTGCATTTGAATAAGACAGGAAAGTCCCAGCAATTTCAGGTGACGCACATTCTTTTTATATGCGCCGCTTATCAAGGATCATCATCACTCAAGCGTTTGGCATCACAAACATCTGATTGTGACAGCAATCTTGTGCATAAACATCCGATTTTATTATTACTTGCCATGTGAAAATTTACATGCATCTACTGTAAAAAAAATTCCGTAAAATTTATGGTAAAAAACCAGCAGCTAAGAAACAGTTATTTCAACAAAAAAAACATCAAATTTGAAATGTAACGCAAGGAATTCTGGGAATGTCAATTTACGGTTATTCACTGTAAATTATACGGTTTTTCCACTTCCAAAAACGGTATACTACCATACAATTGATGTCCAATACATGTAATGTCCAATACAGTTTTTCACCGTATATAGTAGGGAAATTTACCATTAACCATTTAACAGGTTTTTACTGTAGCATTTTTACAGTCTTTTACCGTTAAATTCACGGTCATTTTTTACAATGTACATTTTAAATGAGAAAAAGGTTCATTCAAAAGTCTGGAGTCGGTAAGATTTTTTTTTTTTAAGATTAATATTGTTATTTGGCAATCATGGATTAAACTGATCAAAAGTGATGTTACAAAGACTTTTTTATTTCAAAAAAGAATCCTCACAAAAATGTTTGACGGTTTCTAAGAAATATTAAGCAGCACAACTGATTTCAACGTTGATAATAAGAAATGTTTCTTGAGCAGCAAATCATCATATTAGAATGATTTCTGAATGATCATGTGACACTGAATACTGGAGTAATGCTGCTGAAAATTCAGCTTTACATCATATGAATAAATTATATTTTAAAATACATTCACCAAAAAAAATGCTTATTTTAAAGAGTAAAAATATTTTACAATATTACAGCTTTTACTGTATTTTTAATCACATAAATGCAGCCTTGGTGAGCATTAGAGGCTTCTGTAAAGATTAAGAATAATAAAAAATATCGTACAGAGCACACATTTTTGAACAAGGCATATTGCTGCAAACATCCATAATTGTGAGGTGTTTTAAATGAAATAATTGCAGCGCACAGGAGATTTAACAAAATTTATTTATTTCAAAATCATTCTTAGAAAAATTCCAAACAAAGTATGCTACATACATTAATAGAAGTTCTAAAAATACAGACACAGCTTACAGGATGATTCATGCAAATGTATGAGACTCATAATTGCTACAGTAAAACAATACAGTCAAATATAAACAAATAGCATAGCCGCTTTTAATCATTTACAAAGTCTGACCACCATGCATTCCCCAAATCTGCATGATTTCCAAAACACTTTGTAAATAACTTTTAGTTAATGATTAAGAGTAGTCACTTCCTGTCTGTCCAGTGCTGCTCAGTGCAGTTACAAGGTCATCATCCTCGGCTCCCATCTGTGAGGCAGGAAAACGAAACCAGAATAGGGTTTTTTTTGTTATCAGGAGCTAGAAAACGGTTTCAAGGAAGAAGACCTGCACAACTTCTGCTAAATGTCTGATTTAGCTTTGAAGATGTCTGTGAGATGTCACAGAACTAACGAGAGCAGAACTAAGAGTTTGAAGAGTGGTAGTTTTTTTTTCATCTGTGCTCCTACTGAGAAGTTTTCTTCTTCTTGTCTAAGTGTGTGATGATCTTGGTAATCCAGCCATTTTTCTCTGGTGGAGCACACAGTTTCTTGTCCTTTTTTGTGATAAATCTACAGGAACAGAAAGAAGGAAACATGCATTAATATAAGTCAAAACTCTTACAAATAAAGGTTACTAAAGGGGGTTGCCATAAAGAACCATTTTTGGTAGAACCTTTTGGTGGACAGTTCTTAAAAGAACCCTTTTTTAGTAGAGCATTTTACTAATCTAAAGAACCTTTTGTAGCTCCATGGATGTTAAAGGAACCATCGATGCCAATAAAGAACCTGAACTGGAACTTACACAGTAGCTGGAATGGCACAACCACTTTCTGTGGTTTGGTGAAAGTAGGATGCAACAATCTGTATTGGAATACGAGTGTCCTTGGTGGTTAGACAGCAGTCCACAGCTGCGTCTGAAAAAGCTGAGAATGAAAGGATGGCATTAGCAACGCTTTTCACAGGAAACCCCTCCACTCTATATGTATTTGACCCTGTGTAAGAACAAAACTTGGCCTGTTTCTGAGCACTTCTGGACTTACGGGAACTTGCTCCCACAGTTACTATAACTCCCTAAGAAAAGCAAGCCAGCATAGAAAAAGCCAAGTATGGCACTTTCCTTCAGACAGAATTCATAAGACGTTTCAGTTTGAAATTCTGCAGGATGCTTCTGAGAAGCTGCAAGATGTGTTCCATGAAACTAGGTGTTTTAATGTTTCTTACCTTCAGTGTTGCTCCAGAGGACTGCAGCCATGACCAGGAGAGTTACTGTTGCGGTCTGCATTCTTGTCTTTGTGTTTGGTCGCCGCAAGATCATCAGACAATTGTGCACAGGTGTGATATGCAGGTATCAGGTGCAGGTATTTATACACAAAAAAATGAGCAAACTTTCACTTTCAAGCCAAGACTTACCGTACTTGCCCCACCCCTATCTTGTAAATGCATCAGTTTCACTTCTATAATTCGCACATTCTTTACCGTTTTTCTCCCCTCTGTTCCCGTAGAATTGTCTGCAGGGGTGCATGACCTGATAATTTATTTAGCAGCTCATAAACAACCAGACACGCACGACACGCACGAATCCAGCTGAACTCTCAGAGAAATGTTTAGGGTTTTTCTTAACAGAGTTGCATAACGGTTTGATGCTCACAACTTTCGTTTTCAAAATGATTTTATCTGATATCTGCTGCTAGATTACTACCGTTTTTTTTATTTATTTTACAATCAAATTTTTATATTCATGCGCTTAGCAATTTGAGTGAATTGAAATAATGTGCAATTTCTTAGCATGTGCATATGACTTAATATTACAGATTGAATTATCTGCACATCTATCTAGTCATACACTCTAAAAAATGCTGGGTTAAATATAACCCAGCGCTGGGTTATATTTAACCCAGCATTTTTTAGAGTGTAATCTGATCTAGAATGATTCATATGCACACATGCCAAAACATTCTGCTTATTTTAAATTACATTTTAAATGTTTTAATCCCAGATTGGCCCCACTGTATTTCTATTTAGCATACTCTTGAAATTTCTATTTCTTAACATTCAGTTTAAACCCACTTAAACTGATGGACAAAATTCATTTTCCCAAATTTGTGTAAAATTTCTATAGCGGAGACAGAAATAATGTGCATATCTAGACCTTTCCAAACTTTCCTGTTCAACAAAAGCGTGTTGAAAGTGATCCAAACATGTCATTATCTTAATAATGAATAGTCTGAATGTCTTTTGATATCAGAGAGCTTGGAAAAGATCCAAGGGTGTGTGCTATTCCGTGAAGCAACAACGCCAAGAGCATCACTACTGTGAATAGACTAAGGGGAAATGTGCAATTACAATTCAACACTGACCTGAGCTCAACTGCTAAATTAAAAGGTGTTTTATTTGCTTAATTTTCAAAAGAACAGCCCTCCACCTACATATGCGCTACTCAGTTTCGTTTTTAAAAAAGCACAACTTGGCGTAATGTTAACTTTTATCGCTCTGATTTACCGTAGCTTTCCAAAAACAACATAGTCTATTCATGCCAATAACCTATCATATATTCATGCCAGAATGAACAAAAAAAATCGCTATGAAGTTTAAAAGGTTATTTTTATTCTTACCATCCCCCCAAAAAATGCAGTGTTAAAATCGCAGTACAGTGATGTGGCTGCACCATAATATTTGAAATTTCTCTTTAGAATCTTTTGATAAACCTATTTACAGTTACTGGTAAGGAAATTAGCAGCTGTTTAAGAAAAGCATAAAAGACCGAATTAAGCTTTCAGCA